CCCTATCCCCTCGTGTGCCTTGCCTCCCACCGATCCCCATGCTATCTGATTTGCCACCAATTAACAATTCATCATCATCATCCTCTGAGCCTTATCTCAACTATTGGGGTTGTCTGCACAAATCGTGTTATGCCATTCCACTTTTTCAAGGGCCATACCCTCGATTAGACCATTAGTTACCATATCTCGTCTCACTACTTCCATCGATGTTCTTTTGGGTCTTTTTTTTTGGGTCTTTTTTTGCTCTTTTAAAGCCTTCCACTTGAACCGAATCATCCCCCAATCGTTGCTATTCGAGGTCGATGCTGCATATGGCCAGACCAACCAAGTCTACTTTTCCTCATATTGTCCTCTATTAGAGCTATCCTTGAGTTTCCTCAAATATGTTCATTCTGAAACCTATCCTTTCTTGTCTTGCCACTCATCCATCTTAACGTCCTCATCTCAATTAAACTCATTATGGATATGTTGTTTTTTGACTGCCTATAAAGCATGACTGGTCTTACAACCATCCTATAGAAATTCCCTTTAGTTACCTTGGTATGTGGCAATCATATGAGACTCTAGAAGAATCTCCATTTCGTCTACTGAGCTCTAATTCTTTGTTCATACTTTCTTCAAACTCTCTATTCTCATGAATTATCGACTCAATACATCGAAAATAATCTCTTTTAGGCACTTCTTGGCCATCAATATTAACCACTTCTACTAAACTTGCATTCCATAATTTTGTCTTAGTCCAGCTAATTTTATAATCTTTAGATTCTACATCATCCCTCGAACGTGCTTTGTATTGACACCATCGCGAGTCTCATCAATCAAAGCTATGTCACCTGAAAATACCATAGTATCTTATCTTGTATATACCTAGTTAACACATCCATAACCAAATCAAAGAGATATAGGCTCAATGCTGACCCCTACTATAGGCCTACTATCATTGAAAATTCACTTCTCCACTAGTTATCATCACACTAGTTAGCTCTCCCTCATATATATCCCTCACCATGTTAATATATCCTCTAGAGACTCCTTGAAAGGCGTTCTTTGGATCAATAAATACCATGTACAGGTCTTTTCTCTTCTTCCTAACAATTGCCTAAATAATTAAGAACTTTAATGGTTGACCTCCCTAGCATAAAACTGAACTGGTTTTTTGATACACTCATTTCATGTCGTAGTCGTTGCTCAGTTACTCTCTCTTACATCTTCATAGTGTGGCTCATAAGTTTGATCCCTCGATAGTTCGTACAACTCTGTATGTATCCTTTGTTCTTGTAAATAGGTGTCACAATACTTTTTCTCCAGTCTTATGCCTCATTCTTGGTTCTCTTCATGATGAATGACTTGGTCAAACGTAATGTGCTACTCTCCCGTGCACTTCCAAACCTCTATTGGTTTACCATTTAGTCCTAAAGCCTTTCTTATCTTCATCTTTCTTAAAGCTTCTTTCACTTCATATATCTTAATCCTATTAATGTATCTATGACCTCGAGCCTTCTTTATGTCAAAGGTTCTTTCTAGTGCTTTTGCTCCTAAAGTGGTCTTTGTTTAACAATTTTTGCAAATAAATTTTCTACCTTTCATTACCCCGTCATCCTTTACCAGGACCCTCTAGTCCTTACTCTTTGCATTTCCTTGCTTATTTTTGCTAGTTTGAAGACATCTTTTTCACCTTCTCTTGACCCAATTCATTGTGTAGATCATTTATGCCTTGAGCTTAAGCCTTATTTAGTATTTTCTTAGCATTCTTTTTGGCACTTTTATATTCTTTTAAGTTTTGACCATTTCTATTCCATCGGCAAACTTTGTAACATGATCGGTTTTTTACTAATAGCCTTTTGAACCTCATCACTCCACCATCAAGCTTCCTTATCTGAATGTTTTTTTCCTCTAAATTCTCCTAACGTCTTTTGCCATTTTCGTACTACAATTAGCCATCTCATTCCACTTAACATTAACTTTGTCCTTGAAATTTTGTTTTCCTTCTTTTATTAATATTCCTAGATAAGTATTTTTTCCATTTTATTATTCCACCACCTAGTTCTTACATACATATTAATTTCACTTGTCTTCCATTTTTTCATATGAAATTATGAACATCCATAACCATGAGCCTATGTTGTGTGGATGAACTCTTTGGGATGACCTTACAGTATTTAGATGATGGTCGTTTTGCATTCTTAACAAGAAAAAAGTCTATCTAGCTTTTATATAAAGGAAAAGTTTATATAGAGCCAAGGCTCTAAACAATGAAATTAGAGCCCACCTCAAAAATCTTTTTAGAAGAGGTTGTTTTGATGCCCAAATATCCTCAAATTGATCATCTCAACATCAAGATGCATGGATATGAGAAAAAATGGATTTCAAGTTTTGGAAATAGTGCATCTTTTAACGCATTTTTGGACTGTCAATTTTCAAGATTTTCAAGTTTTCATAGAAACACAATTTTTAAAGCTTTAAATTTTATAATTAAATATTAAAATATATTTTAAGGCTATCACAAAGATTTCCAATAGTGAAACCACATTTCTCGATACTATTTGAAAGTGGGGAGCCTGCTCTACACAAACCACACCCTTTATATAATCCACATTTGTAAGTTATTAAATATTTGTACCGTTTTTTAAAGTAGGTATTTGCTATTGTTAGGTCGTAAGTCATGGTCAAGAATAGCAACACTTATCTCATTTCTTTCCCCAAATCCATATACTATATGTACCAATTAACAATTCTCCTACCAAAAAATCACAATTACATGCAACTAGGACAATTCTACCAAAAAGATACACAAACTCAATGCAAAATTTGAAATACATACAGAAAATTCGAAATATAAATTATGGACTTAATAGGATATTCATAATTGAGATATTAGAATTAAAAAACCTTATATTTTACGAAACCATTTACTTTTTTCTTTACAAAAAGTAAAATCCCTTTCACTGTAAATATTCAACGGAGAAAAGAAAAATCCAAATTAACAATGGAAGAAACCCATTGTGACTTCCGTTCTTCCAGAGTGAATAGCCAGGAACAATAATAGAAAAAGAATTACCTTGAAAAAATATTGATTAATTCATATCAAAATAAAAGAATCCGAAAACCCAAATACCTGATTATGCATACCACAAAATGCGCAAAAACCACACAATATGCATCCCAAAAACGAGATATAGTTTTTTTTTTTAATTATAAAATTTTTAATTTAAAGAAAGTGTGGGCGGCCCACCCTTTATATCTACAATAAACACAATATCACATCCCCATAAGTAAAATCCATTACAATGTTTTGAAAAATAAATTATTTCAAAACCCCTAGTTCTTTTCTAAAGTCTCTAAAATCTAAATCAATGAAAGAAACAATTAAATACATCTTACTTACTCCGGAAGCTGAACAGAGTCCCCAAAGTCACCAGAAAATAGCCGAAATATTGCTGGAAAATGGCCCTGAGTTTTGGGGGTTTTATGGAGAGAGAGAGAGAGGGAGAGAGAGAGAGAGAGAGTAGTCTAGTAACTTCCCTACCAAGCTAGTGGTTACGTTTAGTTTTAAGTTTTTAGTAGTAGTTAAGTTAGGTTAGGTTTTTATTTACTTTTAAGTTAGT